GGTTGCTGGCTGGGGAATTCTGGGAGTTGAAGTGCACAAGTCTTAAAGTCGCCAAGGTTGGACACCCCTATTCTAGATGGCTAGATTCAACCCGGAGCAGCATTAAGACGAAGCACAGCTTGTAGCGCTGACCTGCATTTCGAGGTGACAGTGTGTTTCCTTGCTGGGTTTTCACTGAGGCTGATCTGATGTGATGTTTGTGGGGAAGGAGCGGTGTTTGAGGTGGGGGCACAGGACATTTTACCTCTTCTGGAGAGAGCAGTTCGCTGTAAATCAGCGCCCAGAGGCAAGCCACAGCCGTGGTGCGGATGGCAGCTGCTGTTCTTCCCGCCTGCCACTGGAGATTAGGAGACAGGATGTCTTTTATCACGATCTCAAGGTAGTTACCGAACTGCCTGGAGCCAAAAACAAAAGAGGAGCCGAATGAAAAAGCTTTGTGCAAACGTGCTGGAATGACAGGGAGGATGAAAAGGCACATTTTTAGACTCTGGAAAACAAGAGAGCCCGAACAGGAAGAAGGGTGCGGGAACAAGAAAACGGGGAGGTTGGGGAAGGGGGGGGGGGGGGAAACGAAAATCCTCATTGATGACAGGATACGTTAACAATATTTCATTACTTTGGATTTTTTTTAGGGGAAGGGGAGCAAATGGACTTTCCAGAAGCAATATTTCAGGAAGAGTGGAAGGAGGAAGAAAAACCCCTTTCCTCTTCCTGGACCCCTGACTCTCAGGTTGGACCCACCCCAGGTTAACCTGAAGAAGTTTTCGGTTTAAAAGTATCTTATCGGGAGGGGTCCCAGGGCCGGCGGCCACAAAGGATGCTCCTGAACAGGAAAGGAGGGCTGAGATTATGAATGGTGTGTATATTAATCGCATTGATTAAAAGCGCCATGAGGTGCACACAGGTAGCCCTCGGGTTATGACCCCAGCGGAGCCTAAAATATTGGTTGCCAAGCGAGACCGTCTGTTAAGTGAATTCCCCCCCACCCCTGCCCCATTTTATGACTTTCCTTGAAAGAGTTGTTAAGGGAATCGCTGCAGTTGCTTAAGTTGGTAAAACGGTCGGCTTGTCAGAAAGGTGAATCAGTTGCTGAATGTCTGAATTCTGATCACGTGCCACCGTTGTAGGTGCGAAAAACTTTGAATGGCCACTAAATGAACAGTTGTGAGTTGAGGACTACCTGTAAATCAGTTTAATTTTCATTTTGAGCTTATCCCACACGTTTCTTAGCAGCTGGCCTCTAACGTCTCTGTCTCTCTCTCTCTCTCTCTTTCTTTTTCTATGTCTCTTTCTGTCTCTGTCTCAAATGTCCCTGTCTCTTTCTCTAAGTGTCTCTCTCTCTTTTTCTGTCTCCTTCTGTCACTCTGTCTCAAACGTCTCTCTTTCTTTCTGTCTCTTTCTTTCTCTCTCTCTCTCTCTCTTTTCTCTTTCTCTCTTTTTCTGTCTCTCTCGCTCTCAAACGTCTGTCTCTCTCTTTCTCTTTCTGTCTGTCTCAAACGTCTCTGTCTCTCTTTCTAAGTCTCTCTCTCTTTCTTTGTTTCTCTTTCTGTCTCTGTCTCAAACGTCTGATTCTCTCTCTCTTTACCTATTTCTTTGTCTCTCTAAGTCTCTCTTTTTCTCTCTTTCTCTCTTTTTCTCTGTCTCTATCTCAAACGTCTCTCTTTCTTTCTGTCTCTTTGTCTCAAACATCTGTCTCTTTCTTTCTCTCTCTTTTTCTTTCTCTCATTTTCTGTCTCTCTCTCTCTCTTTCTTTTTCTCTGTCTCAAACGTCTCTGTCTCTCTTTCTAAGTCTCTCTCTCTCTCTTTCTTTGTTTCTCTCTTTCTGTCTCTGTCTCAAACGTCTCTGATTCTCTCCTTTTCTATTTCTTTCTGTCTCTCTTTCTAAGTCTCTCTCTTTCTTTTTCTCTCTCTCTTTTTCTCTGTCTCTCTCTCTCTCAAACATCTGTCTCACTTTTTCTTTCTTTTTCTCTGCCTCTTTCTGTCTCTGTCTCCAATGTCTCTCTCTCTCTTTCTTTCTCTTTTTCTGTCTCCCTCTTTCTGTCTCTCTCTCTGTCTCAAATGTCTCTGGTTCTCTTTCTTTTTCTCTGTCTGTTTTTGTCTCTCTGTCTCAAACGTCTCTATCTCTCTTTTTCTCTCTGTCCAAGTCTCTCTCTCTTTCTCTCTCTCTCTCTCTCTCTCTCTCTCTTTCTCTCTCTCTCTGGTAAAAATACATTTGCTGCAGGTAAAATCCGCTTTTGATGAACCGACAAAGCTTGCCAAGCTTCCAGCAGGACGTGATTCAGTTAAGAAGCAGAATTTTTCCGATGTTCCAAGTCAGGGAGGACAGATCTTTCTTATGGTGCCTTCAGTCTTAGAAGGGACGTCTGGAGAAAGTTCCAAATACGGAGCTAATAAATATAGCAACTGAACAATATCAATGCTCAACCGACCGAATTAAACTGGATGTTCTTTCTTGCTCCACTGAGGACAACCTTCCTATTTTCCTAGGACACAAGGTCACTATTCAGATCCTCTCTCCCCACGGGACAATTTCAGCCTTGATCACAGGGGGGAGAAATGCTGAAGTCAATACTCAGATGGTAGGAATGATGCAATAAATCTCCTCGTTCTGACAAGAGCTTGTACGAGGTGCATTATTTATTCATTATACATTTAGAAATATCTCATTTCTAAAATAGTCCCAGGAATACACGTAAATAATTTATAATGCAACTTTGCTTGGGTCTTGAAAGAAGTTCTTTCAGCATTCCCCCATTTTGTAAATGGCGACCTTTGGTTAAACAAAGATGGCTTTTCAAGGATGTGTTTTCATTTGGAATAGATGTTGATCCCGATTAGGAATCGATTTCTTGCCTGCCTTTCGATGAAGGACCCAATCTAACACTGCCTGGAAAAATGATTTTGCTGGTCTTCTGCTACCCAAAGATTGCGGGATTGGCCATTTTTTTTGGGTCGCTTTGGCAGTAAATTAACGTGAAGACAGCAGTTGACCATTATGGATGGCACTCTTTTTATACTGAATGCGTGGCTTGGCTTATAGAGTTGGAGACCCCTATTCTACATGCTCTCCTCTTCCAGCAGGTGGCATGTAAGAACCAGCTGCCAAAAGGATGACAGCTCTACACTCAATAAAATCATACCATAAAAGCCAGGATGGCTTTGCTCCCAGATGGCTAACTAAATGCCTCTCATTGTTAGAAGAGCAGAGTTGGAAGGGACCTTGGAGGTCTTCTAGTCCAGCCTCCTGCTCAAGTGGGAGACACAATACCATTTCAGACAAGTGACTGTCCAGGCTCTTCTTAAAAGCCTCCAGTGATGGGGCACCCACAACTTCTGGTGGCAAGTTGTTCTGCTGGTTAATTGTACTCACTGTTAGGAAATTTCTCCCACGTTTGGAAGAAAGCACCATGGACAAAACAATTGTATAGATATTAGGAGAGTTATCGTATTTCCTGTATAATGTCCCAATTATGGGACAGGTTGCAATTCCGGAGGGAAGCCTTCTGGAGTTCGTGACCTGTTTTCAAGCTTCCGAAAAATATTGCAATCTATTGGGCATGTTTAAATAAAGGCTGGCACGTGGCCCTTATGATGCAAGGGATGGATTGATTTGCATGCTCTGAAAACGTATCCCTGTCCTTTTTTCTTACACAGCACGCAAAATATAAAGGCACAAAACGGTACATCACAATGCCATTTTGGTTTTTTTAGCCAGATAGTTATCGTGCTTTGCAATCTCCTCGGAGAACCACCATGCAGACCGGAAACGTAATCAACCTGAACCAACTTTTCAAAAGAAGACTATTTACTCCATTCACTATTATTTTTGTTCCCTGTGAAAACCTACACAGCTGTTTTCTTCTTCCAAGCGATTTCAGGCTCCGGTTTTGGCTTCAAGGTGGTCTGGGCTAAATGACCCATGGGAACTCTTCACATATTTCCTCCCCCCCCCGCCCCCCGTAATGGGTTGTTTTAATCCCTTAAATAAAATGTGTCAAAACCACAAAAGGGGGGCTTTACAAGAACCACTCACTTTGGAATGTCTTCCGGGAAAGCAAATCACGTTTAAAAAGTGCCATTTTTAAAAAAAAAAAAAAAATTGGAAGAAAAGTATCTTCTGAAAATGCTCTCCCTTCTCCTGCCTCCGGCGTCTTTTGTCTTTCCTCAGAGTCAAATCCATCCTATTTCAGATGTCTCTCCCCTCATTAATCCATCCTGCCTCCAGGACCTAGTTGGCTTGGTGGCCAGAAAGATATTTCAAAAGTCTCCTTATGCAATAAGATTGCAACACGTGTGTGTGTGTGTGTGTGTGTGCCTGCCTCGTGCAGCAAGGAACTTCAAACTAGGGGCAGGGCTCTTCAACCAGAGCAGATTCAGAGCACCCCGGCTTTCTTTCATTTTAGCCAAACTCTAGAGAGGAAATGTTCCTGAAGAGAGAGAGAAAATATCCCACCAAAGCTGAAAGTTTTAGGAACACCTTTTCTACATAAGAAGCTTGCACAGTCGCAAGCGCGGATCTGAAATCATAAACAGAACCTGGGTGGTAAAATCAACATTAAGCTGAACTCTGTTGACAAGGTTTGGACGGTGCCACCTGGACGTTTCTAGGCTTCTACTCTCCTTAGGACAACCCATTCTTCTGGCATAATTTTCTCCTTTCTATCAGGCTGCTTTGTTATTGATTTATTTATTCCTCAAATTTGTAGAGCCGTCCATCTCACACAAAGTGATTTTAGCACTAACACTTAGACTTATATAACCAGGATGATGAGGGGACTGGAGACTAAAACATGAAGAATGGTTACAGGAACTGGGCTTGGCTAGTCTAGTGAAGAGAAGGACCAGGAGAGGCATGATAGCAGTCTTCCAATATCTGAGGGGCTGCCACAGAGAGGAGAAAGGGGTCAAGCTGTTTTCTAAAGCGCCTGTAGGCCAGACCAGGAATAATGGATGGAAACTGAACAAGGAGAGATTCAACCTGGAAATAAGGAGAAACTTTCTGACAGTGAGAACAATCCACCCATGGAACAGAAGTTGCCCTCGGAAGTTGTGGGAGCACCATTACTTGAGACTTCCAAGAAGAAATTGGACTGCCATTTGTCAGAAATGGTGTAGGGTCTCCCGCTTGGGCGGGGGGTTGGACTAGATGACCTACAAGGTCCCTTCCAACTCTAATTATCTGTTAACCACTTCGTAGTGCTTTTACAGCCCTCTCTAAGCAGTTTACAGAGTCAGCCTCTTGCCCCCCAACAATCTGGTTCCTCCTTTGACCCACCTCCGAAGGACGGAAGGCCGAGTTGACCTTGAGCCTGCTGAGATTCGAATTGCCAAACTGCTTGCAGCCGGCAGTGGGCAGAAGTAGCCTGCAGTACTTGCATTCTAACCATTGCGCCACCACAGCTCTATTTTGGGCAATAATGAAATAAAGCTGTAATAAAAATTGTAGCTTTCTTTAACTGGCTCTTACCTGGGACTCAATCCCATTTGCCTGAGATTCTTATAACTGTGAAAAAACTAATTTACATCTCGTCTTTAGACATCAAATGCAAAATCCAACGGGGGAAAAATGTCTAAAGCAGCGTTTTGCCAACCTGGCTGACTTTTAAGAGGTGTGGAGTCCAGTTCCCAGAACCGCTGGCTGGGGCATTCTGGGAACTGAAGTCCACACATCTTTAAAAAAAAAAGCCGGCCAGGTTGACAGACACGGATCTAAAAGATATGAAACCAGGCTTACCCTTTTGAGTTGACTGTCTCGCCTGGGTTCTGAAGCAATTGGGATAAAATAGAAAATAACTTCAGGCGCATCCGGGGGTCCCTGGAAGTCTGAAGGCAGGTTTTAAGGATGGAAATGAAATCCTTCAGGACTTCAGCAATCACAGGCCCTAGGAAGAGAAAGTGGAAACAGTGGAGTTTTGTATCAAATGAAGTTAGCCTCTGAAAGAAGTGACCCCCTAAAGAGGGTTCAATTCTGGCAGTCAAATCTTAGTTGAATAAGCTGAATCATGAACAGGCTTCTGGGTGAGCAGCCTTGCTAGGACGAAATAAACGACTGCGTTGTCCCATTTAACAGAAGAGTTAGCAAACGGCTTCAAGAGTAAGCTAGGCACCTCCAACCTTCTCTGGGGTCTCTCCCTGTGGAACACCACCCCTCTGGAGAGACGACTGGCCCCACTTTGATACTCTTTCGTAAGACCCGGAAGACCTGGTTCTGCCAATGGATGCGGGGATCCCAAAGGGATAGAGAGACCATCCAGGGATGGGCTGCTGGGGGCTTGCAGGGGTTCGGGAGAGCCCCTAGTTAAGGTTCTGTGCAGCTGGGAGAACCCTCAAATCCCACTCCTGGCTGGCCTCACCCACCCCTTTCAGGAGTCCCCACATGGCCCGTTTTGGACGCAGGTCAAGTGCCGGGCGCGTGTGGTGGTTCAGGGAGGGCAAAAAACGCCCCTCCTAGAAGTTTGGAAAGGCCCGAAATGGGCCCGTTTCCAGCTTCCAGAGAGCCTCCGGAGCCCGGGGAGGGCAAAAACGACCCCCTTCCCTGCCGTGCTGCAGGAGGCCGACTAGGCCACGCCCACCCTGGCCACGCCCACCCGGCAACCGGGAAGAGAACCGCGTTGTTAACATTTTTTTAAGCCCAGCCCTGAGCCCATCGAGTGGCTGGTCGGACTGTTGTCACTAGGGAGGTTGTGGTTTTCTTGGGTTTTATACTGGGGCTTTACCTTTGTAAGGTCACATGGAGTCACCGTGAGTTAAGTTGGGCAGCCAAATAACATTTTTCTTACTAAATAGATAAATAAAGCTGCCTTCGTATCTCTCCGGTCCAGGAATCCCAGAGCGGAGAGGTCCAACCCCTGCCCGCTTCCAAGCCTTCTCACCTGACTGAGTAGCAATGACATCCAACTGCAGGATTTCGGGGGAGCAGCAGCTCCAGCCGTCGTGGGTTGAGGAGAGCCATTCCATCAGCTGGGAGATGTGCTGCTTGTATAAGCCAGTGACATCCCGAATGTGCTGGACCTCAGCCAACGCACTCATCGCGTCCTCCAACTGTAGGAATGGGGCAGAGGCAGGGAGAATCAACGCGGGGAAGCCCTCGGCTTACGACCACAACTGGGCCCAACATTCCTGTTGCTAAGTGAGACGTCCGTTAAGGGAATTTTGCCCCCTGGGTTTACAACCTTTCTTGCCTCAGCTGTTAAGTGAATCACTGCGGTTGATAAGCGAGCAACACGGTTGTTAAGTGAATCTGGCTTCCCCCGTTGACGTTGCCCGTCAGGAGGTCGCAAAAGGGAATCACCTGACCTCGGGCACAGCGGCGGCCATAAATGCGAACCAGTTGCCAACCGTCTGAATTTTGATATCGTGATCACGGGGGATGCTGGAAAACGTTTTTCGACTGTGAAAAACGGTCTTCCTTTTTTTCCAGGGTTGTAACTTGGAACGAAAGCGACAGTTAGAATATTTGGGACATGGGATGCAACATCGGGAAAATTATGGCATCTTTCACTTAAATCCTCCCAAGGAAAGATCAAAGGCAAATGAGGTCCAGGCAGAAGAACTTCATGGCTTCAAAATCGAAGGGATTGGCTTAGACAAAACTCAACAGCAATGTTTTGTGTGGCTGTTGATAAAAACAGGATCGCCAACATGATTGCCAACATCTGATGATGGATATGGGAGGAGGAGGAGGAGGAGGAGGAGGAGGAGGAGGAGGAGGAGGAGGAGGAGAAGGAGAAGGAGAAGGAGAAGGAGAAGGAGAAGGGGAAGAAGAAGAAGAAGAAGAAGAAGAAGAAGAAGAAGAAGAAGAAGAAGTAGTAATGATATCTTGTTAATACCTGCGTGCTGAAAAGTGAGACTCTATTTAGGCCTCACTATTGAAGGATTACCAGAAAAATACAGCATCCTTCACTTAATCCTCCAGGGAAAGATGGAAGGCAAACAAGGTCCGGGCAGAAGGAGAGCATTATGGCTTCAAAATCGAAAGGACCGTTTCGGACAAAACTCAACAGCCCTTTTTCATGTGGATGTGAATAAAAATAGGATCGCCAACGTCCGATGACGGATAGGGCACAAGGAGAAGAACTTTGGTCACTAAACAAACTGCTGTATGTCGAGGAATACTTGTAGATGGATAGTGACAAACATTTGGCCTCCGCGGTGCTTTGGAATCGAAAGAGAACTGGCCATTGGAACATGCCAGATGCTCAGTTGGGAGTCTCTTAAAGCAGCCGCATTTTAGTATTTAGTATTTATTTGATTTGTCAATCGCTTACAGGATACATCCTGGGAAACACACATCTGTATGAGGCCTATCCACCTTCCCTCTGAAGCCTTATTATTATCTGCCTCCAAAGAAAATATAGGAGATGCTTGTGGTACTAAATCAGTGATCTGGTCCAACAATTCCCCTTTTTGGGGGTGGGTGTGTTTCTTTCCGGTGAATGCCTATTTGAATGCTTTTAGCGATTTAGGACTTGCCTAATGAACTTCCTTTCCTTTAAACCAGATTTATCCAGGAATCTTTAAAAAAAAAATCAGCATCCTAAGACCAAATGCTCAGATTCTCTTCTTCCTAAACAAGTCTAGGCATCCGGATTCCACAAGGCAAAGTACCCTTTTGACCCTATTTTTTGTGTGTGTGTGCATAAAATACTATGAACGTTAACCTGCGTTCGATTTTACAGTTTTAAAACTTAAAAATTATGGCTGGGGGGGGGTGGGGGGGGTGGAGAGAGAAATTGCCTGTCGGTGGCAAAGAGCTGTAAATCTCAAGGTAGTTTATTGTGCCTAGAAGCAACCGAACAGGAAGCCGAATAGCCCTTAAACGAAGGAGTGAGTCTGGGAGCAAAGTTTGTGTAGGCCACCGAAGAGTTTCCGTGAAAAGATGGCAGCCTGATTTATTTGCAGTTTGATGGGAGAAGAAAGTGATTCATAGCATCATTGATAGTCATAAGCAAGGGGGTGGGGGCAGACATCCATTATCAGAGGCATCTCAGGTGCTGGCCTCCAATTTTAAAAGGGTGACTCAAACTTTTAAAACTCAGCATTGGGGGGGTGGGGGGGGGAGGTGAAAAGGGCAAGTACCGAAGAAAATACTGAGAGAAAAAGGATTTTTCTTCCCTGACCCTGGAAAGGGCCAAGAATCTGGAGAGAGTGAAGTAGAATCAAAATGCCAATCTAAATTACAACTGATTTGCTCCTGGTTTTGCAAAGCCCGATACACCTAGGCTATATTGATTCACTGGACTACATACAGATCATCCTTGATTTAAGGCCACAGTTGAGCCCAGAATTTCTGTCGCTAAGTGAAACGTTTTTTAAGTGAGTTTTACCCCATTTTCCGACCTTTCTTGGCACAGTTGTTAAGGGAACCATTGCTGTTGTTAACCATTGACGTGGTTATTAAAGTGAATCTGCCTTCCCCACTGACTTTGCTTGTCATGATGCGGGGACGCTGCAACCGTCATAAATATGAGTCCACTGCCAAGCATTCGAATTGTCAACTCATAAATTCGATCACGTTGACTGTGGAGATGCTGCAGTGGGTCGTAAGTATGAAAAATGGTCACAGGTCACTTTTTTCCCCAGTGGTGTTGTAACTTTGAACTGTCACTAAATGAACGGTTGTAAGTCGAGGACTACCTATACTAAGGGAGTAACTCTAATTCTGAGGTGCTGCTTTGATTTGGGCTATGGGCATCTCTACCCTGTGTCAGCTTTGGGGGTTAACTTTTGAAATCTGAACTCAAGACATGATCCAGGATGTAATTAGCCGATAGTGTTCTGGCCTGGGCTTCCCAAGATAATGAAGCAGGCTTCTCGTCCCGTTAAACCCTTTTTATTTAGGTTAAAGGGAATTCCTCTCCAGCAAAGCCCCGCCAAAGAGTCTTTCATGAGATTTCACAACTACAGACCTTGATCAGGCTTGGAGAGCTGCCAGGCCGATATCTTCCAAATGCCAGACTGTAGCAGAAATTACTTGGCAAGAAGTCAGGAGCAGATCTTCACCCGAATGAATTGAACTAATTGTCTCCTGCAAATCCCACTCCCCTTTTGCTCCTCTTTATTCCCTCTGGGAGGGGCCATTCACCGCCCACTGTGCCCTTACTCCCGAGTCGACCCTTGTTCCTTAACTGTTCCCTTCTCCTGGCAGCTCTGTGCATGCGCACACTGGGAACAGGCTCCAGCTGTTCTTCTGCCCTACTGATCTCCGACTCCGAAGGCAGCTGATAACTGTCAGACGGCCCTGGCCCCATCTCTGCCTCCGACGCAGAGCCCTCATCAGACTCCAGGACTGGCCCATGTCCCTCCCCAACCTCCTTACTGTCTGAGTCTCCTGCCAGCTCAGCTGGCCACTGGCAGGCCACAACAGATAGTGACTCCAATTTTGATGTTCAGCTTTTTATCTGACAGCTTAGAGGAATGCCAAAGCTCAGGGCTACACCACATGCATTGCATGAAGGAAAATGAAAACCTAATTCTCCACCTGGCATCCCAATTACAAAGAAATTAGAGGGCCAGATCTGGCTGAGGACATGACTGAAAGTGTCCTTAGCTGTTATCCGTGAGGCAAAATACTGATTTGTTAGAAGGTTTATGGTAAAGGAAATGCTTTATAGGACCAGGAATCTAAATGCAGACTCAGCATTGCTAGCCCAGTAATTTGCATATGTGTGGCTATTTTTTTTTTTTAATTCAAGTAGCTTCTGCTAATCAATTCTGGGAATGCGAAAAGGCGAAGATTAATGTAAGAGCTCATTCCAGATGTCGAATCACACCCTGCAACAAAAGAACCTTAAGCAGACTGGCATTCAGGGTTGTTACCTTTACATGTAAATGCCCAGCGGTTGGTATTGCCATGATGGTCACCAAAACCTTGGTGAGCTGGAGGCTTATTTCTTTGCAGTCTTCCTGGCACAGCTCAATGAGACTTTCCACACAGCAAAGCAGCTGCTCCAGATAAAAGACCTACCAAAAACATCAAAAAGAAACCATGATGCCATGCTTCCCAGAAGACAGAAATGGAATTTCCCTTCCTGGTTCGCTCTGCTTGCTCAAGCGATCCAGTGTGGGCTGTTCGTAGCCAAGGAAAACCTATCTGCCTCTTCCTCTCCCATCTCCAAAGGAACTTTTCAACAATGTACCTGCAGAGGTAAAAACGTCTGTCATACTTATACAGAGTTCCTCTGGAGACAAGCATTACTTAAAAAAAAAAAAAAAGGGGGTGGGTGGGTGGGTTTAATGGACCAAATCCCACAATTTCTTTTAAACCTCTTGTGAGAGGCTAAGATTTGGGAATGAGATTATAACACCTCCCAAGGCCTGGCGATCTCATAAAATGTGGGAGTCCTGTGAGGGTGGTGCCCGCAGCTTCGAAAGTGGTCAACCTCCGAGTGTGCTACAAGGCAGTCCTTGACTTACAACAGTTCATTTCACGACCAAAGTTACAAGCTAAAGGTGCTAAACAAACTTCAGAGAAAAGACGTCTATGGAACTGAAAAATTGGTTGCCCTCTCCCCTCTTTGGAAGAGCTTTACAGCTCCTGCTGCTTTAAGGAAGTTCAAAACCTTCTCAAAGATCCATCTCACCCTGGGCACCCCTTTTTTTTTTTTGAACTATGACCATCTGGCAGACGGTACAAGAGAATAATAAAAACAAGGACAAAAACAGGCTGAAAAACAGCTTCTATCCCAGGGCAGTAGCTCTTTTGAATTCTACTGTATAGTGCAGTGTTGTTGCGGTGTTGGGGGTTTTCGGTTCAATGTGTGGAGTGTGAAGGATGTGTGTGTGTGCATTTATTTTCGTGGTCATGATGTGCACTGAAGATGGTGTTTGATTTCGCTGTACGAGGTGCAATGACAATAAAGTAAACTAAAGAGGCCTGTTTCGTTCAGTTGGGGTTTTCTCCTCACCTCTTCCGTCCGTTGACTGACTTCAGGGTTGCACAGCGCGTTGCCAAGGGACACCAAGTGGGGTTGCAAGACTTGGCGGGGAGATCCCTGGATAACCGCCGCCAGGATCGTGAGGTAAGACGCCATGGGTGATTTTCCGAGATCGGACAGGATTAATTTCAGAGAGACCGCTGGGCTGACAAAAGCTCCAATCAGCTTGGTTGCTTTCAAACACTGTTTTAAAAAAAATACACAGAGAGAAACTGGTTGTAAGATGCTAAAGACCGAATGAACTCAGCGGAGCTTCTTTTTTTTGAAATGAAGAATGGAGGATGACAACTGCTTTCTCCCTTTTCTCATGCTTGAGGAATTGCCTCGCAGGCCTTCAGCTCCATCCCTTGTTCACGATTAGGTGCACAGAGGAGATGATTTCATTCAGGTGTAAAAAAACATTTCATGTCAGCCCCAAAATGAAGCACCCCTGTGTCTTCTTTCAGCACGACCTCTCCAACTTCCCCCTTGAATGAACGGAATGAACGGAAGCTCTCGGTCCCTCTTAGACAAAGGCCCCCACGGGATTTACAGTATCCCTTTCACACAGCTGTTCCTCTTGCCAGCTTTGAAGAAACAAAGAAAAGGTTCTACCTTAGGATGATGGGTTATGGGCTGTCTAAATTGTTCTGGGGGGAAAATATGCCTTGTTTCCAATATCTCAGGGGCTGCCACAAAGAAGGAGTCAAGCTATTCCCCAAAGCACCTGAGGGCAGGACATGTAGCAACAGATGGAAACTAATCAAGGAGAGAAGCAACCGAGAACTAAGGAGAAATTTCTTGACAGTTAGAACAATTAATCAGTGGAACAACACTGGAAGTTTTTTTTAAAAGATGTTGGACAACCATTTGTCTGAAGTGGTGTAGGGTTTCCTGCCTAGGCAGGGGGTTGGACTAGAAGACCTCCAAGGTCCCTTCCAACTCTGCTATTCTATTCTATTCTATTCTATTCTATTCTATTCTATTCTATTCTATTCTATTCTATTCTATTCTATTCCATTCCATTCCATTCCATTCCATTCCATTCCACTCCACTCCACTCCTCCATTCCACTATTCTAATTTTAATTCTATTTATCACTGGAAGTTTTTAAGAAGAGACTGGACAGCCACTTATCTGAAATAGAATAGGGCCCCCAGCTTGAGCAGGGGGCTGGACTAGAAGACCTCCAAGGTCCCTTCCAGCTATTCTATTCTATTCTATTCTATTCTATTCTATTCTATTCTATTCTATTCTATTCTATTCTATTCTATTCCTATTCCTATTCCTATTCCTATTCTATTCTATTCTATTCTATTCTATTCTAAGTCTATTCTATTCATTTTTCTTTCAGAGAGGAATGGGGACGGGGGACAGCCAAGTTTGAACTATAGAGGTCTTTTCCTCTTGGCTGTTAAGATACCAAAAAATGGGCATCTTAGGAACCTGCATGCTTGGATGCTTGTTAGATAGAAGCCAAGGTTTATTCATCAAGAATCCTGGTCACAGCTCCCAGTTAAGCCTATCGTTATGAGACAGGAATAGGAGACGTTGTTGAATAGGGAGTCCATTTCAGCCCTGTCCCACTGATCCAGAAGGGTTCTCCAAGGATTCAGAAAGGTATTTTTTTTAAAATAAACTACAGGTAGTCCTTGGTATACAACAGTTCATTTAGTGACCATTTGGGGTTACAAAAACGACTTAGGATTGTTTTTCATACGATCATTGCAGCATCCCCGTTGGTCACGTGATCAAAATTCAGGCGCTTGGCAGTCGACTCATAGTCATGACCTTTGAAGCATCCCGGGGGTTACGTGATCCCCTTTTGTAACTTTCTGACCAGCAAAGTCAATGGGAGAAGCCAGATTCACTTCACATTCGGGTTACTAACTTAAGAAGTAACTTAAGAAGAACAGTTGTTACTAACTGCAGTGATTCGCTTCGCAATGGGGGAAAGAAAGGCTGTAAAATGGGGGCAGAACTCACTTAATAACCCTCTAATTTAGCAACAGAAATGTGGGGCTCAATCGTAGTCTTAGGTCGAGGATTAACTGCAGTTTCTAACTGGAGATGCTTAGGGGTTAAACACAAGAACTCAACGCTTTTAAAGTTTGGCCTCTTCCTATTTGTAAAGGTCAGGAGATGCCGCTGCCAGTGATATCATTCTGCTGACAGATAACAATATCTGGAGAAAACTGTATTTTGCTTGCTATCTTTGTTGCAAGCCACAAAAGGAACTCATGTTTCTTCTAGACAAGATTAAGGGAACCAGCAAGATGGGAGCACGTGAGCCTCCAGAGTCTGAATCTTCCTCAGAGCTACTGCCAGGGATACACATACCTGATTACTGTGGGAGGATTATAGGCAGGAAAGGAGAAAGAGATAATGTGGTGAAATTAACTAGAAAGGTTGTGAACTACGCATAACTTGCAAATGGAATTTATCCCCCAAAGGCATTTTACATTTTAATCTCCTGCTTATGATTTTTAAAAGGCTCTTACTACTCCACTTTGGCCAGCACCACAGGTGAAGCACAATTTGTACAATCTCATCACTGATCGGTACAATAATCAAACGGAAAGTACACTTTGCTGAACAGTAACCGTATGAAGCTGCTTTGGCTCGGATAGGTTGATTAACAAAATTAATGCCCTTGTGGGTCAACCCCAATACATTATAAAACCGGGAGGGAGGGGAAAGGGTGATGTGGAATTTGGGGCCCAGAAGATTTTATTATCAATCACGAGCCGTCTGATACCGTGACATGGAAAAATTCTCTGAAAACTTGTCAGGGAAAAAGTCGGTTCCACCATCTTTTTCGTCCTACTTCTGTGCATATTGAATAAAATTAATAATCACAGCTCAGGTCACGTTACCATGGGTGTTATAGTCAGTGTTACATGTTGGGCTGGTTACTTGGGAAATCTGCCTTCACTCTTGGGCTGAGAAGAAGTGACTGGTGATTGGCCCAAAATCACCCAGCTGGCTTTCATGTCTAAGATAGGACTAGAACTCACCATCTCCTAGTGATTGGCCCAAAATCACCCAGCTGGCTTTCATGTCTAAGATAGGACTAGAACTCA